CACAGCTGCCACCCCCTCTCTGCTGCAGATGGCCTCGGAGTCAGGGACGCTGAGCGCCACTGCTGCCTCACTCATCCCCAAGGCCAGGGCAGGGCGGGCGCAGCGGGCTGCGGGCCTCCTCCTGGCCCTGTGCTCTGCGGCGCTCTGCCTGGCCGAGGAGCCCCTGGCGCACACCGCGCGTGTCCTCACCTCCTACTTCGTGACCCTCCAGATCGGGGCATTGCTCAAGGGCGCCTGCTACTTGGCGGAGGAGATTTTCCACCTGGAGACCAGGTGAGCCAGCACAGAGCGGGGCTGCATCTGCAGAGCATGGCCCACCGCAGCCTGCGTGGTGCCCTGCAGAGAGCCACTCCTGCGCTGTCCCTACCTGTCCTTTCATGCCGCCACCCTGCAGCAGCTCAGGCTGCTTCCTTCAGCCTCACCCATCTCACAGCTCCTCCTCCTCCTCCTCCTCTCCTGCCCTCTGAGTCCCTCCAGCAGTCTATGAGCCTCTCCATCCCTTCTAGACCACAGTCCCCAGCTTGCCTGTAACGCCCAGGAAATAGATCTCAGCTCCCAGGTGTCTCTCAGCTTCAAGGCCCCGGAGGGTGCAGGGATCTGGGAGGTGATGAGTTTGTTGCTATCCAGGGCAGTGTCACATCCTCTTTCAGACCCCCAACCCGTCCAAGCTGAGGGCACCCCGGGGTGCTCCAAGCAGCAGCCGCCTGCTCTGGGGCTCCCCAGCGCTCGCAGAGGTGAGCAGCGCAGGCAGCGAGGTGGGAGCTTGTGTGGGACCCACGGCCCTCTCCCACGCAGGCACCGCGGCAGCTTCTGGAGGGCCCTGGGCGCCTGCCTGCACCTGCGCTGGCATGTGACCCTGCTGCTCGTCAGCGGCTCGGCCTACGCGGCCCTCCTCGACGGAGACAGATGCTCACTCGGCCTCCACCTCATCCTCTCCTGCTTCTGCCAGCTCCTCTTCCTCGCCCTCGGGCTCCATGTAAGGCCCCAAGATGGGCAGCCCGGCCCCGCTGCCCAGGCGCGGGACAGGGCGCGTGCACAATGCCACAGGGCAGAGGGCCGTGCACATCCCGTGTGCCTGGAGCAGCTCCCTGCCAGCCAGCTCGGGCCACGCTGCTGCAGAGACCTTGGGATGAACTCAGCACTCAGGAGCCTGTCGCCTCAGCCCCGCATGGCCACGCGGCCTGGAGAGAGGCTGCCTGCGCTCACGCAGAGGTCAAACGAGCACAGATGCCCCGGGGCACTGGCAGCAGCCCCTGCACGCACAGAGCTCGGCTGAGCTGAAAACATGGGTGTTTTTAAACCTGTCAATTGAGCGAGCGCTCAGAGGGGAGAGCGCAGCTCGCATGGTCTCCATAGGGTTAATTAAGCACCAGGCACGCGGCAGAGCCGGGCTCGTGCCCTCAGCCCAGCTGCGGTCTCTCGGGGAAGGCTCTGCTTGATCCTGGTAGAGCCAGAGGGGGAAAGAGAGCACCCTGGTGCTGCAGGGAGGGAGAGGCTGTTGGGGGCCTGTGGGTTCTGAACACCGTGTTCCTGTGACACCAGCACGCGGTGCTGGTAACAGCCATCAATGGCCCTGGAAAGGTCACCGTGCCCTCCCTCCTACAGGAGCAACCCAGTAGACACTTGGGTGCCTCCTCCGGAGCATTCTGGAGATGGCAGCGTCTCTCTAGCCCTCGTAGGGAAGCCAGCTGTTGTGGAAGAGCCAAAGCAGCCACCCTCACCGCCAGCGTCTCTTTTCTTCCCTCCACAGAAGCCCTCAGCTGTGGAAATATCCGAGATGTCTGAGCGGTCCAAGCAGAACGTCGCTCATGGGCTCGCCTGGTCTTATTATGTTGGGTACCTAAAAATAGTTCTGCCACGTACGTAGCTATTTCCCTGCATTCCCTCTCCTCCAGATAGAAATAGCTCCTAATAACAATTCTCCCACTTTTACAGTGTTATCAGGGAAATGGGGAGCAAACTAGAGCTGTTCTCACCTCAGCACCTCTTCCCAATGCCCTCTTCCACCAGGCCTGAAAGAGTCAATGGAGAAATTCAGCAGAGCCAACCCCAACGTGCTGGCACACAGGGAGACCTGGAAGCTCCACATCCTGGTCCCTCTGAGCTGCAGCATCTGTGACGACCTGGAGAAAGCTGACAGCAACATCCAGTACCTGATGGACCTCCCAGAAACAACTCTGACTCGAGCTGGTACGAAAAGAAGGGTCTACAAGCACAGCCTCTACGTAATCAGGGATAAAGACAAGGTACGTGGAGGGAAGCATCAGGGGAGCAGTGGCCATTGGGCAGGACAGTGACCCCTCTCCCGTTAGATGGTCACAGCTCCCAGCAGTCTTCCATAAGATGGGGAGCTCCCGTCCATGCCTGCCATCCTCCCTGCTTCCTCCTGCCTCTGCAGCCTTTACAGCGGGGCTGGGGTCATTTAACCTTTCCAGGAATTGTCTTCAGTCAGGAAAATGGCAGAAAATCTCTTCTCCAGGGAAGGCTTCCCTGTTCCTGGAAGCATCCACTGGATTTTTCCCATTACAGTGCAGGCACTCATACCATATTCAACCTGACAGTCCCTGCTGGCCCCCTTGGTACCGAGCAAGCTGCAGCAGCTCTGAAGCCCAGAGCTGTAACCCACTCCAGCCACTTGACCCACTGTGTTGTTGGTAAAATCAGCCACCTCCTTTGGCTACCTGCTCACTTGTGAAGAGGCCACATAGCCCAGCTCCCACCTTGGGACCTGTTTGCAATGACAAAGCACGGTTGTCCCTTCTCTTTTCCCTTTGGGAAAGGTCTATGTGCTCCTTGATCATCCGTCAGCCCTCTTAACTCCTCAGCAAGCTTCGGCCTCTGATGTATCGACACTGATTTTCTGAGGAATTTTTATGGCTTTAACAAATCTCCCCCTTTTTTCTTTCTTTATTCTTTGGGCTAACCTCCTTCTGGCTTTGCATCTATCTTGTTTTTTTGCTCTCCGTGGGATGCTCAAGCATCCCCCTCTCTAGCAAAAGAGCTACCCAGAAGGTGTGATCAGAAATGAGCCCAAAAAGGGAGGTGTCCACAGGGACCCAAACTCCACGGGGAAAATCTGCCCCCCTCGGCTGGACCAGCCGGAAGAGGCTGGTCCAGGGCTGCCCCAGGGGCTTTGCCCAGGGCTGGGCTTTGCCCAGGGCTCAGCCCCTCTCCTCCAGTGCCTTCCTCTTGCACCCCTGCAGCTCAGGACATGTGCGGTGGAGTTTGCCACCCCACTGCAGTCTCTCTACGCCATGTCCCAGGACGAGGCTGCAGGCTTCAGCCGGGAGGACCGCGTGGAGCAGGCCAAGCTTTTCTACAGGACCTTGGAGGAGATCCTGCAAGGGGCCAAGGAGTGTGCGGGCACCTACCGCCTCATTGCGTACGAGGGTGAGCGAGCAGGGCAGGAGGGCAGGGGCACCCAGCACTGCGCCGGTGCTTTTGGGTCTCTAAAGTGACCTCGGATTGGAGCAAAGGAGGGGAAATGTGCAGGAGACGGGCAGCGCTTGCCCGATATCCCGGCTCCCCGGGCATGGCGAGGCCTGCCACGGCAGAGGAGGGAACGATCCCCCCGGCACATGAGGATGTTTCGCTGGTGGTGTCCTCACAGCAAGGAGGATGCAGACAGGGCTTGTAGGGTGCATTAGCAGGGAAGGTAGGGGTTAAATAGCTAATGTAGAATAAGCTGAGTGCCTGCCAAGCACTAAACCCAGCAGCAGCTAAACCCAGCAGCAGAGCCTCCGCGGAAGGGCTGCCTCCCGGAAGCACTGCATCTCCCAGGAGAAACGGCTGCCACGGGAAAGCCCTTCTTGGCAGCGGGCAGGATGTGCACATGGTGCCTTGGGGCTTCGCTCCCTTCTTTCCTTTCTCACCTCCCCAGCTCTGCCAGGGCTTGAAAACAGCCCCCGGGATTCTCACGCAAATGAAGCTCATTGTTTTTCAAAGCAAATTCCGTGCACTCCCTGATAGAGAGAAGCTTTTCCACGCAGTAGCGAGGTGGTTCCCATCACAACAAGCACTGCTGGGAATTCAGCACACGACGCAGACGCTTGCATTTTACCCCTGTTCTGGCGTTTCATGCTTATTTTCCTTTCTCTGGCGTGGGGAGCAGGAAGGCAAGCCCTGTATTTCGGCTTCGCAGGCAATTGTGCAAGTGTTGAGGAACCCTGCAGAGCTTGTGCTCCCCGCACAGAGCCATCCCTAGGCCACAGTGGTCACACAGGGTTTTGTCTCCTGCTGCAGGGTCGGGCGAAGCTGAAACCCACTTCTTGTCCCAAGAGATCCTGCGGCACCTGCAGCAGCAGTGTCGGGAGGAGTATGCAGTGTGTCCCGGCTCCTCCTGCTCCACCGACCTCAGCCTCCAGATCAGCGGGTCAGACCTGCCACAGCCTCTGCAAAGTGACTGCCCCTGAGCCCCTCTCCACAGCCTCAAGCCTTCGCTCCTCCTTCTCCCGGCCTCAGCCCTTTGCAGCAGTGGACGTGCATGGCCGCCTTCCCCGTCGTCTCGCGAGAGCTATGACTACCACGACCTCCCCGGGACCAAGTTTGCCGACTTCAACCACAGTCCTGTGACCTGCTTCCCATTTTATTTGCCCTTTATGTTCCGTATTTCTCATGTGTATAAATTCACCCGGGCCTTTTTAATTTGCTTTGACCGGTAGCGGGTCAGACATTTTCCCCTGGGGGATGTTGTGCTATTGCAAGTGTGGGGCGCACTGCCCCCACAGGCCAATGCCACCCCCACGCGCTCGTATGCCTCCATCCCCAGCAGCTCCCGGCTGAGCGGCAGGCGGCGCCCCCCCGCCCCCGCGCCCGCTTGGGC